CTATAACACATAAATTTGCTTGCTTGAGGGGTGGTTTTATTTTTTTACTTACATATTCTAAAAAGCAGATACATGTCATTATGTAGAAGTTGGGAGTCTAAAATCAAAATCACAACAATGTAAACTGAACTGCATGCCACTCAAAGCCAAGATGATTTAAATTAGGGCTGACAAACAATTAAAAAAATTCATTGCAATTAAATGCAATATTAAATAAAATAGCTGCAATTATTCGCAATTTTGATCATACAGTTAAACAATAGTCAGGACCCACCCCACCCAACAACCCAGAGCCCATGCACCCTGTGGCTCCTCCACGCCACCACCAACAGCGCACAGCCCCAGCCCCGACCCTGGCCCGCTTTGGACTCACACTGGCTGAAGCAGACCAGCCGGAACCCGTGAAAAGAGCCCCAACCCCGGCCCATCCCACTCCTGCTCCAGACTCAACTGCTCACGCTGAGCAGCAGCAGCAACAGCCAGGCAGAAGCTGCTGCTCCATGTGGGAAAAAAGCAGCCCGTCACTACTGCTGCGCCCATCTGGCTGCAGCCATCTGGACCCCATGCCCAGGCTGCCCTGGGGCTCCACCACTGCCCCCGTGGGTGGCCCGAAGGCGGCAGCGACGGTGGCAGAGAAGAACTGCAGGCCAGCCCAGGCATGGGCCCCTGCCAGCAGCAGCAGTGAGGGGGAGAGGCTGCTTTTCCCTCGTGCCGCCCCTGGTCAAAATGGATGTGTGCAATTAACACTCATTACAAAAATGAATATCTTTTCTGTTAACTGTGTACGTTAACTGCAATTAACTGACAGTCTTAATTTAAATATAAAACTAAAAATATGAGGGACAGCTTAGGTCAGATTCTACTCCACTTAGTAGGCTTCAAAGTAAACTTAGGTACTAAAATGAGATCCTATTGCAAGTCCTGAAAATCCTGAGACCCTGTTCAAGTCCTGAAAATCCATTAATACAACTACTTTTGTAACACACTGGACATGTCTATACATGCATGAATGCGCCATTGCTACTGCGCATTAAGTTTAGGTACTAATTAAATGTGCAGTAGCCAGCATTACTGCACAGTATCAAAGGTGCGCAGTCTTTTCATGATGCTTAACGTGCAGCTTTTGTTGTGACATGCTAATGAGCAGTAGAGTTAGCAGCAAAGTAGATTAGAATCATACTTAGGTGCCTAACTTCACTTATGCACCTAAGACAGGAAACAGAATTTGGCCTTTCTTCTCTACAGTAAATGAAAGCAGATGCAATCTCTTCCCTTAGTTACAACAATATAAATCTACAATATTTTCACTGACTGGAGATATTCTGGATCTTCTGCCACAATATACATTTGACCCACATATAGGAAACACACACAGAGTCCCCTGTATGCAGAACATCATCTTTATTTAAACTGTCCCAATCAAGAACAGTGATATTTTTGATACAAACAACTGTCTGAGCCAGAGCGCTCCAGACAGTAGCACAGGTGCACAAGTGGGGAGGATGGCTTCTTTCCTGGCAGAATTAAGAGCAATCTCTGCTGTCACCGAGAAATGTCTGTCCCATTCTAGTGACATGTAACACAATGGTTCACAATTATGTTAAAAAACAATTATATTTTGTACCAGGGACAAATTCTTAGGCACTCCATGCTATCGCACAAGCCAACTGAGTATTTATTTAGATTACCTTCTTCTTTTCTCTTGCAAATCCACGGGGCTTTCTGAAAGCAGTAAACAGCTGCCAAAAGGCCCTTCAGAGCATTCAGCTGCACACAGCACTTGGCAGTTACAGTCCACTTGTGTAGAGACAACCTCAGAGAAACAAATATCATGGGAGGTTACAAGGTTTTCCTACCAGTCAGTGCTTTATCATCTTACACCCCAGACTCCAATTTTAGTTTCACGGTTTCCTGCAGGCAGTTATTGACAAGCTGATGATACTGCATTCCCATTCCAGGCACTGAATGAATTAAGCACTACAGTACATATTACAGTTTCTTGTTGGGCAAAACAGATTTAGTAATTAAGGGTCTTCAGAACATCAGTATGTTCCATGCTTATTTTGGAAAAATGCTCTGCAACACAAGCAAGTAAAGTCTTAATTAAGGTCTTAAGGGGTAGGAAGTGAAAGAACACACCTTGTTTCAACCTTGATTTGAAATCTTATTGCTCACAATGAGCAATGACTTCCAACAGGCTGGATTTCCAAAAATGCCTATGTGTATGCCACAGACTGAGTCTGGCACCCAACTCCCATCAGTAAGGTCCACCCAAGACAATTACTCACTCATGAAGCTGCTTGTTGCTGGGAACAAGAAGTAGAAGTGTTGCAACCTGCCTGTTGAACACATTTCTGCATCTGATATGCATGGCTTGTGCTCCTGCTGTTGGGTCTGTGCATGCAGCCCAGGCCAGAGTTGAGTTTAAATGCTACTAACACTTCCAAATATACAAATTATTTTTTCTAGGAGTGGAGTACTGTTCTAGCTGTGATGATCCAGGAAATGTCTGAGGAATGAGGACTTCCTGTGATATCTTTTATTGAACCAACTGTATAGCTGGATAGTTGGGAGAGCTACTGGACAAGCTTTCAGTCATTAAGTGCCCTTCCTCAGATCATTTGTTCTAGAATGGATTTTTCCCCACTTTTGCAGAAAATATTTTATATCGCTAATAAAGCAATGTATTATATGAAATAAATGGTGTGGATGACAACTGTCAGAAGCAAGAATATTTCCACTACAAAAGCACAAAAGGCAATCAACTAGGAATTGCTATAATTTAAGGCAAGGAAGCCAAGTAGCTAACTGGGTGGCTGGAAATTAGGAGATGACCATTTGCCTCAAACAAGTGAAGCTAGATCTCATTCAATAATCAAACCAAGCAGCCTTGCATTAGAATTCATTAGAGAACTAATATATAGCATACCCAAGTACAACCAAAACTTTTCACTGAAATACATTTTACACTAACTAGCTCTGTAACCAAGGAATAGCTCTCCCCACAGGTATCAAAGCATTACCTAATGGACAGTGCATTCAAGACTTACCAGAAAACTCATCTTCTGTCAGCTACAATTACAACCACTGGAAATCTTAGTAAGATTGTGAGTTCCTTCCTTGAATCCCTCATTTTCTGTGGGTTTCTGTTGATTTTTATTGGTGGAAAAATAGTCCCAGAAAGTAGGAGC